ACCATGGCTCATGTGCAGTTTGGTCATCCACGGGTAAATTGGTGGAGGTTGTTGCTGCTGCTGCAGTTGGGGTCCTCCCGCTTGGCTCGTTGGCACAGGCTCCGTTTTGATGTCGCCCGTGCTCTTAGCTCGCTCCTCCAGCGCCGTGTTACTCTTCTGCCTGTAAATCCCCGGGTTTAAAGGTTCCTCTCGAGATAAAGGATGCCCCGGAGAGCCCAGCACCGTGCACGGAGGTCGCTCGGGGGGACTTGAGGCCATGTCCAGAGGGTGCAGAGAGCTGGAAGCCCCCGCGGGTGCCAGCGGGGTGCTTAGGTCCAAGCCAGCGTAGCAATACCTGGAGGGCTGAACCTCCGCCACACTTCCATAATTTCCATAACTTTGCATGGCATAGGCTGCAGCGGGGGGGCTCTGCTTGTATAGCGAGCTGCCCACATAAGAACTCATGTCGGAAGGCATCAAAAATGATAATAATAAAAAATATATCTTTTTAAATGGGTTCTTTTTTTCTGTCTCTCCTTTTTTTTTTCTTTTTCTTTTTTTCTTTCTTTTTTTTTTTCCCTTTCCTTTCCTTTCCTTTCCTTTTCTTTTTCACCTCTTTGATTTAGCTTGATTTGTGGCCCTTTGAAGTTCGCCGTCGGGGTGGGTTGGGGAGGGGCTGGGGGGGAGATGGGGCCGTTTCGCCCCTCTTAAAGTGCAGAATTTATAGGTGGGGATTCTCCTCGCTTTCCCCCAATTCGCGCTGCCCAAATATGGGCTTTTTTTTTCCTCCTTTTTTTTTTCTTTTAAGGGGGCGTCACATGACGTCGGCGACCAGTCATAAATTTGGGGGGGCTTGAGGACCCCCCGTCTCCTCCTTCTCGCTTCCTCCCCCCCCCTCTCTTTAATCGCGGACGGGTTATTGATGGACGCCCGCGAGGAGCCGCGCAGAGGCGCGGGGGGAGCGCGCAGCGCGGCCGCGGGGCGGCAGCGGCACCTAGCGCCGCGCCGGGGAACCGCAGCGCCGCTCCGCGCGACACCCCCGCTCCGCGCACCGCCCGCCCCCGCGGGCCTCCAAAACGGGGCTTGGGGCTGAGGGCAATGGCGGGGGGAAGGGGGGCACCAGAGCAGGGCGCAGTTGGGCTCCCCCAGCAGCGCCTATTCCGCGCATCGTCGAGCAAGATGCGAGCTTTTTTACACCCTTCCTAATAATGGCAGTGGGGGGACGCGTAGTTTTTTTTTTTTTTCTTCTTCTTCTTTTTTATTTTCTTCTCCCCACATTGTTTTCCAGTTTCCCAGGTGTTTTCCGGGCTTCACGGAGCGTTCCGCGCCCTGCGGAGCTGCCTCCTCCCCCACATTTCCATGGAGGGGGGGAGTTCGTGGCTTCGCGGTCCCCGGGGGCTGCGCGGAGCTGGGGAAGGTCAGAGCGCGATGTGCGGCTAGTCCCACGCTGTGACTCCTCCGGGACGCCCAACTTTGTATTTTTCTCCTTTCCCCCTTTTTTTTTCCTCTCTCTTTTTTTTTTTTT